ATTTTAAATAGATATGTACAGTGTCCCATTTTAGTTGAAATCATACGGTATCTCCGTTATTAACGAAGATAGAAGGGTGCGGTTTGCACAAACCTATCCCACTTTTTTGTCAAACGGAAGATGCTGTTACCAAATTTTCATAGCCCTCTTCGTTTCTGAGCTACAGGGTCATTTTGAAAATTTTGCAATTTGGGACACCCCCTGTATCTCTGTTAATGCTAAAAGTATCGAGAAGGTAAAAACTGTTTATTGTAGAACTTTCTACGTAGAATACACTGGCGTACTCTGTTATTCTACGAAAATAATATTTTTAAAGATATGAGCTAAAGTTATGTTTTCTTAAATGGAACACCCTGTATATTTATAAATTATATAATATGGCTTGCCATAAGCAAAAATATATATCACTTTATATTTGTTTTCACTATTTACTGCAATATTTAAAAGTTTTTATTAAAAAATCATATTAGTAGGCCTTGGTTGATAATAAAAGAAACTAAAGAATTACTAAAAGTATACTGCTATCTGTCTCTTATTTTATTTTGGGAGCCACTAATAAATTCTTTATGTATTAGGGAAACTTAACTATCTACCGCTATTTGTAAATCATGTAAGCTATCGTGCCGGAACCTTTAGATATTTCTTTAGCTAATTTACGTGAAATATACTTTCAGCAAGATAGGGCTCCCCCACACAACCTTGAAAATATTAGAATTTTGTTAGATTATTATTTCTCAAATCAATAAATTGGAACCAATGGACCCATACGATGGGCTCCCTGATTCCCAGATTTGTCCGTTCTCGATTTCTGATTTTGGGGATTTTTGAAATACGAAATATATCGTGGCAACTGCAACAATGTCGAACACCTAGAACATGCTTTAATAATGCAAGCTTTTAGATAATTGCAAACCCGTTCCGTTATAAATTCCGTTATAAAGAAAAAGAAAGATATATTCAGTGGTAACAATTCAAAAGTAAAATATATTAATCCCAAATAAAATTTTAATATGTGTATGACTATTTTAGTAAATACCATTTTGATTTTTTTGCTAATTATCACGGCCTACTAATAAGAAAATTATGTTTTAAATATTGCAGTAAATAGTGAAAATAAATACAGGGTGCCAATAGACCCATTTTAAATGCTAATTTTGGTCCTTTGTATAAAATGAAACAATTATACACTAATAGTTTATTAATAGTTAAGAAATACGGAAAAATAAAAGCTGATCATGCCAATCAGCTGTTTATTGACACTGCTGACCACATCCAATTCCCCTACTATAGAAAATACTATAACAAAAGAGCGGCGTTGCCAGATTAAAAATTAATCCAACCGGTTGATGTAAAAATGACGAAATTTACAAATATTTCTTGTAATCTTTGACTTGAATATTATTAAGTACTAAATAAAATTATAAATATCGAAATTTTCAAATGTAGTAAACTAATTATATTATTATTTTCTTAAGATTTCCCCAAAATATACGTATACAAAATTAAAAATAAACAAAGGTTTTGACAAAGCTTCGATAGACTTGGCAACATAACAAACAATAACAATAGGATGTTGGCATTCGCATAAAATGTAAACAGTTCCCCTGTGCTCGGCCCCCCTTTCCATTTAAGAATTTAGGGCTGACTCCGCCCCCGCCTTGGGGGTTATAGGTGTGAAAGTGATTTTATGATATTTTCTTTTCCCCCTCGAAAACTAAATCGACGTGTCTGAGCGTTTTTCCAAATTTTAATTTTAAACTAGAAAAATTGGGGTGGAAAGTTTCAATTGACCCACCCTGTATAGAATGATATATTTTTGAGAAGCTCATATTAAGACGGATCATATGGTTTATAAATACACAGGGCGTTCCATTTCAAAAAAACATAACTTTAGTTCATATTTTCAAAAATATTTTTTTCGTAGAAAAACAGACTACGCCACTGTATTCTACGTAAAAAGTTCTACAAGAAGATAACATCTAACATAATAAAACTAAAAACTATAAACTACAATAATAATTATTATTATATGTATATAGTTTATGAAACCACAAGCTTTCTATGGTAAAATATCGGGTAAAATTAAAAAAAAGGAACAAAAACTTATAAAACTCAGACTTTTTTGTACGGTCTTCATATTAAATAGAAAAAAATATTCAAAGAAAGTCTTCAGATCAATTACTGTATCTTATCTTCAGGGAGTTAATACCATCACAGAATAGAGAGATAATAAACTATTATATAATAATAATAAACAAAATACAAAGGAAAAAACTTCTAAAGAGAAAAAACAGCTTAAAATATACAAAATTAATTTTGTACCTGTTCTCAGATTTTATATATTTTCTACTTAATATTCTACATTTTCTACACATTTTTCTATATACACGTAGAAAATTAATTTTCTACGCGTAGTTAGTCGGTACCCAACCATGCCTATGAAGTATTATTCTGCGACGCATTATCCTTTTTTTTAAATGGTACGAAACCTATTACGATTAGAACCAAGATATTTGAAAAGTTCTTAAATACCTATATTCTCGCCCTAAATGTCCAAATAAAAACATGCCCTAATTAAGTCTCCCAAGGCTGTTCTTACCACCGGCCTAACCAGCGGCACTTTAAATTCATGCATACGAGACGTTGTTATATCGATGAGATCGAGACGTTGTTGCACTTTTCAATAGTCAATAGTCAGATGATTTGAATGTGTTATAGAATTGTTATAAGTTATACTGGGATTAAATAAAAAGCTAGATACAAAAAATAAATCGTCCCTCCATTTTAAAGGCGAAGCGCGGCCTCAGAGGCCCATCCTGACGAGTCGCCACTGCCTAATTCATATCCTAATATTAGTATTTGGCGCCAGTGTAATTTCGAATGAATTACTTATCAATAAACAGATTTTATCTTTGTTTATATTGTTTGTGCTATTCCATGAACTCTGTAATCTACCTCAAATATTACATCTTTTCGATATTATCTTGAAAAACATTCTGTATATCTGAAAAAAGACTGAACTGTTTAAATCCATGAGATAATATAATAAATTACATGTCTATAGATGATTATTCCTATTAAAACTATTAAGACCAAAACTACAAAATAAACAATTATGAAGTTGTTGTTCAGTGATATAACTATGATGTAATTTTATTATCAATAATCGTCCAAAGCTCAATGAATGATCAATTTGTATACTATTTATTAAGTGACTTTTTTTAATTAAATCATAACACATTAGTACAATAGATATTACACATTGAAAATCACTTTTAATAAAATTATTAATTAATATAAAAAGTGTATAAATGACTCAGTTTTTGAAACTTTTTTCATATAAAATGTTTAATAAGAAAGGTTATTAACATTTTATAATTCCCTTGGTACATAGATAATTTTATTTCTTACTGAATTTAGAATATTTTGTCCCATTTTAAAACTACATAAATGTTGCATTTATTAATCTTCTGGTATAGGGAATGCAATCCCGCACCAAAATGTCAATCCGCAACCCCGCGGGATTAAAGCAATCAATCCCGCGGATCCGCAAAATTGCGGGATTGTAAACAATAGTCATACATTGGGTCCTAAATGGTACAAAAGGCATTGTACATTTTGCATAGGCCCACGATATATTGATATAGCGTGTATATTAAACTAGCTGTACAGAAATTTGGACACCGAGGTATACATATATAATATTAAATAAACTTAAATTTTATTATAATTTATCTACTTATTTTATAAATAAACATATTATTCTGATTGAAATTTTTTTTAACTTGTGTTAGTTATCTGGTTTTAGATACACTCTATATCAATAATTGTTTGGCATATGCAGAATGTACAGAGCTTTTTGTACCATTTAGGGCCATACGTATGACTAAAAATGCACATTTTTCGAAAAAAAATTTCAATACAGATTTTCGATTTTTTAAAAACTGTAAATTTGCGGTAAAAAAGATTCTTGATCAAATTTTCACACTCTTATAAAACACCCTGTATACGAGAATTCGCTAAATATATTTTCGAAAACCACATCAGCATCTTAATCACAATAGATTCATCTAAAACCTGGTCCAAACCGCATCCCAAAATCTTTTTTAGTTCAAGAGATATTCAACTTTAAATTTACCCTAAAATTTTGCTGGTCCCAATAATTATGTCCGGCAATTTATTTGACGAAATTGTCCACAAGTACTAGTTTTTTTTACGCTTTTCTTCACTTACGCACATACGCCAGAAAGAAATCTAACAACTAGCCTGTTTCACTTATTTTTAATGGCCAAGCCGTTAGGGGAATCCCCCGGGTTCCGAGCGTCGACGCATCGGCCCGGAACGAAGCGGTTTGATATTAATCGAGATCAATTCGCTTACCCAGTAGTAATGTTTGGTAATGTATTGATCCCGTGGATCCCGCACGGTAAATCCCGCAACTTTGATCCCGCGGAATCTTAGAGGGATCCCGCATTTGCGGGATTGCATTCCCTATTCCGGTATATTTGTATGAACACTGCTGGTAGGAACTTTGTTTGTTGCCAGTTTACTATTGTATTAAATTACCTATTTATAAATTGACGGTTGTTGTCAATCGAGTTTTTTTGTCAAAAAAAACGCCTTTCACACCATAGATAAATGAAACAAGTTTGGATTGGAAAGCTCGTCAAAATTTTGGGACGCAAAATGATTTTGGGTCGCGACCGTTGCACGCGATCTGGCGCTGCTATAGCGGTTGCTAAGAACAACCGCAAACAAAAACAGAAACAATTTTCTCTTGTCAAAGTCAGAATCTTCAAAAATGATGAGATGTGCTTATATTAAATCAATAAACATAAAGAAGATAATCACCTCCCACCAACTTCCATTATTATCGCAATTTTTCACTGTTCACACCCTGTGTAAATATATATACAGAGTTTCGCCATTTAATGCAAAAGTTAAAAAATTATGACTATATATTTTAAAAAGGCTGTGTTAAATTAAAAATCAAATCTTACTTTCTATCGTAGCTGTCAAAACGTCATTGTGTACTTCCAAATGCCTCAAAACTGCGCCTCTATTAATGTCGTCATGTCCAAAGTTTTCACAAATTTGAGCGTGCGTACCTAAAAAAAACAACAAATAATTTAGCGAATAATTTACAGTCTAGGCAAATAAATTTTGTAATTCTTAAAAGTATCGATATTCCGACATATCGATACGTTACGCAAAAAACTATCGAGATTGATATTAAAGTATCGATACATTTATACATCCCTAATTTCTATTAAGGTGTATGCGAACCGTTAACCCAAAGTGTTAACCAGTTATTAACGTAATTTGACCTTGCGACAGTGGCGCACTGTGGTCAATTTTGTCAAATTAGCCGGAAAAAAATATTAGTGAAAATTACTTAACTTTGATTAATAACTATATCCGATTTTATATGTTAGGTATCATAAAATTACATTAATAATATAATTAATAAGAACAGGTCGTATACAGGGTGTATAATAAATAAAAACTTGGAAAAGTTTCGTTATTTTTTATTTTAAATAGATTTTGATCGCGATCATTTGCATATGTTAGATATTTAAAAATTATCATATTATAAGAATAATACTATGGATCTTACAGATTTTGCTAACAGTTGCTTTTAAAAAGTCAACAACCTCCAAGCGTTTAATATGGGCAATACGTCCTAAAACATGGTCTGGACTTAACAGACGGACTAGGACTAGAGACTAGTAAATTTGTAGGTTTGGTAAAGTTGTCTAATGGTTTAACTATCAACTTAACGTTATTTAAAACTGAAACCTCATAAAACTTTTTTCTGCTGGTTCATTAAAAAAATGTATATTCTAATAATTTAAAAAAAAATCTAACCATATCAAAATTATTTACTCATATTTAATACTCAACAGAAGAACATTAATGTCAAAAAACTTACCAACAACAATATTGCTCTTTCCATTTTAGATAGTATTAATGACATATAACTTTTTGCACGGAATACGCAAATTAAAAACTTTATTCAGGTGCAAATAACAAGATTATTTAGTTTAATTTGTCAACTATACTACTATTTTCAATCAAAATAACAGTAAATTCGCAACGACCTTTGACATATTTGTTAATGAAATGTTCTTAGCAATTATTTCAAAGCCTACTTATGGAGTTTTTGACGCCGCTTAGCCTCATCAGATTTTTTAATATTTTCCTGTTAATTTTTAAAAATTGACCACAGTGTGGCGGCTCGTCAGGGTAGGCCTCCGAGGCCGTGCCTCACCAATAAATGGAGGAACGATTTATTTTTTGTATGTAGCTTTTTATTTAATCCCAGTATAACTTATAACAATTATATAACACATTTAAAATAATAAAACAAAAAAATATATATTATATAAATACATCCAGATACAGGCGCAACATAAGCCGCGTAAACCTAGCCCAAAAAGAACGCGACTCGGCGAAATAATTCTAGCTTGGAAAGTTCGAATTGCCTACCTATTAGCAGTAACGATTTAAGATCATGTGACGCCGGTGACGCGACGGGCGACGAGGGGGTACGCATTCTCTATCGCATGGTTGAGGCGAGATATTTGGCACTTGGGTGTGTAGGCACATATTCTTTCGGTGATGAATAGCAAGTAGCAAGCGACGAGCGATTCGCTTGATCGCTTAATTTAGTTTATTTCAAAGCATTGTCGATGTAGGTCGTAAAATTTTGTCCCTCAGATACGCAACGGATAAATATATATATATATATATATATATATATATATATATATATATATATATATATATATATATATATATATATATATATATATATATATATATATATATATATATTTTTTTTTTTTTATATTTATTTTTCTCTACTTTCGATTTTCGAAATTAGAAAAAATACACAGCTAAAGGCAAGAAAATATTATTTATTAATATACACTAAAGCTGTAAGAATTTTGTTCATTTCATATATTTAAGCGGGCCGAAAAACGCTCTTTGCCATCTTTTGACGGGAGATGCATTAATATCTCACCGACAGTTTACGACATCGTCTGTTGATATAGAAGAAGTTTTGCTTGCCGTATCGGTGAGAACCAGCCCCTGGACAGCCCACCTGATGAAGGGTAGGCCCAGAAACCGGTTGTGGGAGTGGAGCTTGGTTCCCCCCTTTACGACAAGCAAAACAATTTTCTTTTTACTTTTTATTTTTTTTAAATTTTTTCTCTACTTTCGATTTTTCGAAATTAGAAAAAATACACAGCTAAAGGCAAGAAAATATTATTTATTAATATACACTAAAGCTGTAAGAATTTTGTTCATTTCATATATTTAAGCGGGCCGAAAAACGCTCTTTGCCATCTTTTGACGGGAGATGCATTAATATCTCACCGACAGTTTACGACATCGTCTGTTGATATAGAAGAAGTTTTGCTTGCCGTATCGGTGAGAACCAGCCCCTGGACAGCCCACCTGATGAAGGGTAGGCCCAGAAACCGGTTGTGGGAGTGGAGCTTGGTTCCCCCCTTTACGACAAGCAAAACAATTTTCTTTTTACTTTTTATTTTTTTTAAATTTTTTCTCTACTTTCGATTTTTCGAAATTAGAAAAAATACACAGCTAAAGGCAAGAAAATATTATTTATTAATATACACTAAAGCTGTAAGAATTTTGTTCATTTCATATATTTAAGCGGGCCGAAAAACGCTCTTTGCCATCTTTTGACGGGAGATGCATTAATATCTCACCGACAGTTTACGACATCGTCTGTTGATATAGAAGAAGTTTTGCTTGCCGTATCGGTGAGAACCAGCCCCTGGACAGCCCACCTGATGAAGGGTAGGCCCAGAAACCGGTTGTGGGAGTGGAGCTTGGTTCCCCCCTTTACGACAAGCAAAACAATTTTCTTTTTACTTTTTATTTTTTTTAAATTTTTTCTCTACTTTCGATTTTTCGAATTAGAAAAAATACACAGCCAAAGCAAGCAAGAAAATATTATTTATTAATATACACTAAAGCTGTAGAATTTTGTTCATTCATATATATATATATATATATATATATATATATATATATATATATATATATATATATATATATATATATATATATATATATATATATATATATATATATATATATATATATATATATATATATTATATATACGGTGTCGTATAAATTTGCTACCTGCAATGTATGTAGAAAATTCGCTTGGCTTTTTGTCGAGTATGTCACATTAAAATCGGATTTCAACTTATTTCATTCTAGGATCGCTTGCGTTCGTCGCTCTTAACTCATCACTTGCATGGCTCGTTCATAATCGAGCGATGTCGGTTATATCAATAATCGAGTACTCGAGCGAATTTTCGCTCGAGTTATCCCATCACTAGCGACAACGTCTCGATCTCGTATGCATGACTCATGAATTTAAAGTGCCGGTGTTGAGAACAGTCTTTTTGTTTTGATTTGGACATTCAGGGCAAATAAATTTAAATTATTTGATGGCTATTAGATATAGGATTTTTAACTCGATTACACACAGGTAAGGTGGAATTTTAGGCAGTTTTTAAAATGGAACACAACAAATATTGTTGAAATTTGAAGGTTAGTCTTTTCTTTGCCGGTAAGATTTATTTTATTTATTTTAAAGTGGCCGAAGGGGTGTTGAATTTGTGTTTTCTTTAAAATGAATCCTATTGATATCATTATTCTTTCTGCACTTGAAAACCCTTTTCTAAAACGAAATGAAACTGAAAAAAGACAGACAGTAAGGAGTCAAAAATTTCCGCAATATTTAACGATAAGAAGCAAGGCAGGCAATGTTGATGTATACAATTCTTATAGTTGTAAACGCAGCATTATATGTATAATAGGTGTGAACCCTCCTTTAGTTACCTGTCACAAGAATATGTATTGTCAATATCGTGTTTGATCAATGCCTTCTATTAAAAGATCAGCCTACGGGCGAGATTTATGACGTCACGCTAGTTAGATATAACGGATTAATAAATATGTTGTAGAATACATGGAAAACATAATTATTCCTCAGATTTTTGGTTTGTATTTTAAAAATGATATAGTTTAAATGAAATATACATAATATACAGTTAATAACTACAACATATATACCTATTTATAGTAATAAATACTTTGGCAAATAAACTATGAACCATACAAATGCAGCAAATGTTTTACGATGTACAAATAGTGTATAGGTACATAACATAATGGGTAAAATGTAAATATATTTTAAATTTTGGGGTTTGAAAATCGATCTAATTTAACAAAAAACATTCAATATCTAATAATAGTGATGTATTATTATTTGCATTCACAAAATTTATATGTATATCTTGCAAGTATCAATCTTCGAAAAATTATATTTACAAATAATACAATATTATCTAAAAAAGGCGTCAGCGATGGCTATGAAATGAAGATCGCTGGCATTTTATATGTAAAATTATTCTAAAATTTTTGATTTTCTTGGGATTTTTAGGTTCGGGAAAAACGCTGATTTAAGTTTTCATTTGGGTTTTCATTATTTTTATTTGGTTTAAAAAAACGTTTCGGCTAACTATAGCCTTCATCAGTGTTGTGTCATATGAGAAAAATAGTGTCGAATATAATCCAAAAAATTACATATACAATATAATTCCACCTCATAATATTTACTGCAATTAATAAACTAATATAAACTAATCAAAACATGACCACACATTTTTTAAAATTATTATTCTTAACACTAAAATTATCTACATTGACTATGGAGTACGCAGTACGCAGTAAACATTATGTGCGTGGTGTGAATATTTTATATGTAATTTTTTGGATTATATTCGACACTATTTTTTTTTCATATGACACAACACTGACGAAGGCTATAATGTTAGCCGAACCGTTTTTTTTTTAAACCAAATAAAAATAATGAAAAACCAAATGAAAACTTAATCAGCGTTTTTCCCGAACCTAAATCCCAAGAAAATCAAAAAATTTAGTATATTTAGAAACAAGATTCAAGAATATCAAATTTTCCAAGATTGTAAAATTCTAGTTAATTATTTTATGTGTACAGTTATTTAGGGCATGTCATCGATGTTCATTTCCAAGCCAA